GCAAAGAATGAACAGCAGTTTGACTGTAGCAAAGCAAATGCTCCAGGTTAGATGTGACCACAAAACAAGTGTAATAGCATAATCCAGCATAACTTTCGTTCTGCGATGAGCTAGCCGTCTGACAAATGAAGCAGACCGATGGTCGTTGATGCGGATTTTTTAATATCTATTAGAAAAACACTGGACATTTTTCACTATAGGAATGCATAACAAAATTTGAAACTGAATACATGTAAAAAGATTACTTCTGTAATGAATTGCAAAACGGTTTCACGATAGAATTCGGTCCCATTGAAATATCCTAGCCAGAGGCAATGTTTTTGAAGTTGAGATACGCATTTGCCCATTTTTTTGGCGCATTAACCTTGGCAAACAAAACAGAACTGGAAAAACTCAAAAGTGGTCACTGGCTTTGCCGTGTAAATTCTGAGGCCTATATTCACTTGTACAAAAGCCCTCAAGCCAAGGAATTTATGCAAAGTGATTACCGATAATACTAAAAGCAACAAGATATAAGACCGTGTGCATCTCCAAGTGACTTCCATGTGTGCCACAATTTTCTTAGAGGGTCCAATTGAACATTAGTACAATACACCAGCCGATGTACATGACAGGTTGATGAAATATCCTATGGGATACCGTCTGAATATCAATGGATCATCAAAAGGTGCGTATTTTATTTAATGAGGACATCAATGGACCTGTAGTTTACTAAAAATAACTCGTGTTGGCCGTAGTAAGGCATGAACATCAAGCACAGATATACAAATACGTAGATGTATGCTAATTACGCGACGTTGCGAAGTGAGTGCCATGGCTAACAATTGACATGACACCCTACATATAGTGTGCCAGTGCACATGTGGGAAAGGAAATATTACCAACAGTCCAGAGGAACTCCACAAACTTTCTCCGAAAACATTGGCACAGGGCAATGATTTCTAACGTTACTGTAATGAAATTTGGTCAACTGTAATTAAAAACTGAGAATCACTGATTTTTATAATAAGCCGAATCTACAAGTGGAACACATTTCGAGCGACCGCTGATTTAAAACATAACGCCGCCACAAGAAATGAGACGCTGAGGATCGGTAGCAAAATCGCAAGGGCTGTGGAAACAGAAAAGTAATAATCTGGCAGATGATAGAAGAATCAAAACAATAAAGACACGCATCTCTAACAAGCACTGCTCGAAGTACTACAATTTCAGGTAGAGCAGTAAGACAAGTAAAAATTTTTTAGATGATTTGACCGGACAGTTTATATCCTAACACGGCTAAATTCTTTGCAAAATGTTTGACCACTCCGGGTATGCTACTGACAATAAAAATCGAAAGAAAAGACTAGCCGAAACACTACGTATGAAACTATGCCTGTAGTCTTAACAGTTTACGGGTTCCAGCTGTTATGACCCATAAATAGCCTACATTGTTAGAGACTAATAAACTGGAACACAAAAAATTGTCCGCCAATACTGAAGGCTGACAACGTAGTAGGTCGTTGTTCCAACAACAACTGTACAGATCACAACGAAGTCAAACACTGAACTACCCTTACAGAATGCCGTTTCAGTGAAAACCAATAACTAGAGTACAGAAAAATTTGGACAAAACGAGAAAAAAAATGACAATACTTTTAACACAAATCTCGCAAATATCGATCATCAGAAGTGGTGAAGATAAGAGCACAGCTCGTAATATAGACCAAAATTAACTAGGGCACCAGTTACAACTACTGTGATGGGGCAAGGGGTGCCTACATTTCGTTTCAGCATACAAGCACGCCTAACTTTACCATGTTAAGCGTGTGTAATTGCTACTTAAGGAAATCAGGTTATCATGATGGCTGAGATTAGTGCCTTTTACTGGGATATGGAAAATCGGCATTAAACAAAGTTTTCTTTCTATTATCAAACATATGAAGGACACACAAATAAATGTTCGAGGTAAATGACTGGGTACTAGAAATAGAGAGCTACAGATATAGTGTGTGTACACCGCAATAAAATCATGTAGGATTGAATAAAACTGTGGAGCGACTATGCGAAAGGTTAGCGTATATTTTCTCACTCACATCCACTATTTTGTTAGAGTCGATTTTTGGGATATCGAGCAAATAATTGGGATGAAAACTCAAAATCCACCACTTAACCAGTAAACAGTGACTAAACAGCTCCAATCACCTTGCTTTCAGCCCTCTTCGATCTACTACCAAGTTCGAAATCGCCTGACAGTATGCGAAATATTACGATGAGAAACGGTTGTGCGGATCCAGCTTGTTTGAACATATCGTCAAAATGAAAACAAGATAAGTTTAAGAAAGTGCAAAATGCATACATGTGCGCGACTGCATACCCAGGACTGCCATCTGTCTATTCAAGATTATGTAGACAGCACGCAGTGCCTCAAGGAACACTGCAAATCAGAGGATTTGAAGAAAATCTTTGTTGTGAATGGTATTTATTCAACATCTTAATCCGATCGCTTCGCCTCCGATACAAGGCTTCCCTTCTCGCAGCATGGCGACAGCCGCGCAAATCCTCAACTCCCCCCTTCATTCACACGTATATGTATCTTGGATTAACCTCACACCTAGATCTCGATGTTAGCGCATCTATGACTCACGCATACACACGCACAAACCCGACACAACGACACCAATTCTGGTTAAGCTCTGAAGTAAACGGTTTTGTTCCGTCCTCTCCGGTCTTCTTCTCCATCGCGGGCATCAGGCAATCGTAATCGGGCCAGGGTTAATTCAGTGGCCCCGGCGTGGTTCAGAACCACATGCTGGGGCCCACAACATATTGTATGAACACCATGGTGTTGATCAAACGAGTTTTTCAGCTGGCCCGATGACAATCGGGGTAGGTGAGCACGCTATACCAAGTCGCCATGCAATGATACGACAAAAATGACAAAATGATACGTAACGGATTAACAGTGCCTTGGAATAGCTCCAGTCCAAAAAATTATGTCGTGTGGTCACTCGCCGTCTTCGCCATGGTCTCTAACCTGGGCAACACACACGTACTTCATAAGCATAAGTAGCATCCAACACTTAACCGTAGACAAAAAAAGTTAAAGCAGCATAAAAACGAACACCAAAATTAAGGATAATTGTCGCCTATATTTATGATGCATCATCAGGGAAAGTTTAAAATAAAGGCTGAACACAACCGTTAATAAAATTAAAAACTCACCTGATCAATCGGTCCCAAATATGAGTCATCGCTCCGAATGCTATCGCGAGAGTTTGTCGACTCCGAAATTCGATCATCAACGTTTAGATGGCACCCAGCTACTCCATTTTCTTCAATGTGTGTGTGGTTAGTCTCATTTATCACGGTGGGATCGTTGTGTCGGGTGACAAGTAGAGTTGGTGCCGGGGTCTTGAGACGTTCGTCTGCTATTTGTGGGGACTTGTGCACAGAGCGAAGCTTCACTGGGGATGGGGAGGGGCCGCCATTGCGATGTTTTTTCTTAAACAATGAAGATAATTTGCTTGATTTTGTTATTTTTGTGCTGACCTCTGGGGCGTCCTCTGCAAATTGGACTGACTCTCCACGAGAAGATACAGGCCTCAAAATATTTCGATTTTGCTCCTCAGGAATCGGAGTGTGGGCAGAAACACAGCACAATAAGCGTTTCCAACTACTCTTGCCACGTACAATTGACCCACTTTTTTTAAGTTGAGTTGATGAGACATCCTCTGCGTGTTCTGAGGAATCGGCGACTGGAGATGACGAAGTCTCCTTTTCAGCCGTGTTTAAAGAAACCTGGTAATTACGCTTCAAATCTGATTCTTGAGGGCCACCAGGTACAACCGCTGACTTTAACTCTGATTCGTCTATTTAAAAGGGTAGAAATTAGTGTAATCAGACTTGAACAGTATCAGATTAGATTTATTACGACTGGACATATAACCCGCAACTCCGTGGCTAGAAAACAAGGTATTCCAAAACGAAGAAGACCGCTAAATGAAACCACCTTCATTTTACATGATTTCATCTACTGGAAGTTGCACATTGAGACTAAAAACCACATGTCATCCTGTTGAGCTGAACTGGTTGGAGTAAAAAGAGTGACAAACGTATCAAAGGACGTGCTAACAAAACGTGCTAACAAACTGCTTAAAAAATGTGCTAACAAATTGCTTAGTCAAAAAAATTCACATGGCGGATTTAGAAATAGTTCACGTGAGAAGACCCAATCACTTTTAAATGAAATTCAAGTGCGACGATTTCACATCAGGGTATTATCATTTCCACACTGATAAAACCATGGACACGAGACAGAAAATTTTGGACAAGATAGGATACTTTGAGTTGAACTCATGATGGCATGTAGGAAAAAAATGCTCGTCACCGCATAGTTCCGAAGCCTTGTTTATTGCAAAATATTTACCTAAAGCATCCCCAAGGGCAAATAATGATGCAACTACAAGCGAATTATTGAAGTTTTTCGTAAAGATATTACTTAAATGGACGACTTATAAATAGTTCTTTATCTTACAAAATTGGTTGGGGATTCGAGCACACGAGCGAAAGAACCCCGGCTGTAAGGGGTCCAGAAACTCAGCTAGCTGAAGAAGATGACTGGTTCAAATAAAACAAGTATCAAAAAACCAAAGTCAGGCATCTCTCCTAAAAAAACTGTAGCTGTGATGGTATTGAAAAGTTAGGAATATAAAATAAACAGTAATGAACAACTTACAGCGTTTAAACTTTGAATCAAATTCGCTATGAGACCAAGCTATGCTTGCGTGCCTGGGAAGTACGGGGGTGCTTTCATTTGTGTTGACCGAATGTAGGCTGCGCTTTGCAGACAAAGCACGATTTACCGAAACAAATTCTTTCAGTTTCTCAGGGTTGAATGCTACTGGTGGAGGTGAGAGGACAAGTCTTTCACATTCCTCTGGTGACAAGGAATCATGCGAACCACGTTTGTGTTGACTCATCCTTACAACATAAAAAACCCGGAAAAAATAATGAAAACTATGTAAACAACTCCACTGGACTTTGGGAATTAATAATAATTGAGACTACTAAAATTTAGAGACTAAGGCAGCGAAATCAAGGCATCAGCTGTAAGGAAAATCGTTCATAGATGAAGAAAACATATTGCTGCCCAAGTCTTATGTAATATGAATCCACAATGATACCAAGATTTATAAAATCAAGAGCTATGGACGTAAGGCGAAGCCAATATCAGAAGAAGAAATCATTTAAATAAAGCGGTGAAATTGTATGAGACTCTTGGCATAGTGAAACAAAGTAAATTTTATTTAAAACAAATTATTTTTTATAATGTTAGCTAGATTTAATTTGCTTTATATAATGTATTTTAACTGTCAGTTTTAGGCCATTTTGCTCCATTTCTATGGCCGATGTAATACCTGTATAATATTTGAGAATTGTTGTGCAAAAAAGTTTTTTAATCACCTTAGTGCAAGAAAATTTAGAAAACTGTTTGGCTGCACGACATTGTTTGTTAGAGTTCATTACTGCAACTTACGGCTGGCTGAGGAGCTCTACCCTTCTTGTGCGCTTCCTGAAACACTCGTGCCTGTATGATTTGGTGGTCAGACGATCTCGGGAGGTAATGCATTAGCTTCGCAAGCTGCGTCTGTCTAGTTTTAATTATATATACCCACTTTTATTAATCACTTCAATTCACGCTTTATTTTGATACCTCTAGGAGAAATTATGCAACAACGTGAAAAAGAGCTTTACGAAAAAGTTAAAGTGAGATAATGAGTTGTGTGTTCACGCGCTTACATTTGGCGGCCCCAGATAGGACCTTTTCTAACTCTGCTTTCATGATTGCAATAATTTTTTTGAATAATTTACCTGAATAACAAAGCTAGTATATGTGAGGTTGTTAGTGAATCAACCTTGGTTTGGTCCCCAAACCACACAGGGTCCATGAGCCCTATAATCTCTGGGCCATCTATGAAAGAGTGGAGTCCATAAATAGTGAGTAAGTTAACCATGTTGTGGAATACCTGAGCCCTAATAGGAAAAAGACCGGTACAACAGAACAGGCTTTATTGACCAATCAGAAGCCAGAGCCACACGTCAGGCACCTTCCATTCGAGTCCGCCACGCTGGCCACGCCGCTCATTATATACTGCACCTCAGCCGTGTCCTTCTTGGGTTGGCTGCTTATCTTTCTCGCATGCCATTGGAACACAGAGGGACACAGGATTGGCTGCGGCCAGGTGGTCCAATATGTTTGCGCCCCGATTCGACGCCACACCACACTGCTTCCCCCTCAGCAGTGAAGTTGTCCTCAGCTTCTGGCTTGGCTATTGACATCGAGTGTTGGCAAAATATCTAGTTCGACACCCCCGCACCCCAACTCAGGCAGGAGAGTGGCAAATGCTATTAGTTGACGATGGACTTCGCTCTTGTAGACAAACGTTAACGCACCAGAAGATTATGATGAACAAATTGGTGGCAAAAAAGCAAAGGGATATAAAAGCGTGTAAATTGTCTAAAGAACAGAATGATTCAGTAATCAGAATATTGTGAATCGTCTTTATTCAACCCCTTAATCCGGTCGCTCCACTTTCGACAGAGGGTGCCCCTTTCTCGCAGCATGGCGCCAGCCGCGCGAACCCTCAACTCCCCCTTCATTAACACGAATATTTATCTTGGAGTGTCCCCACACATAGGTCTCGATGTTAGCGCATGTATGGCTCATACATCTGAGCTATAAATGCGCGCAAACCCCACAGACCACACACCTTCGTCAAGTTTTCGAATAAACTGTTGACTCTGCCCTTTCACCGACTTCAGCTTCGTTGGGCAGTTAGTGAGATAAGGCGTCTCAACAAGAATAAAGAAAGCAGAATAGCTAAGGTTTGTCATCAACACGTGAACCGCCTAGAATGTTAGCATCACCGCTCAGAATTACACCAAAATTGATTTTAAAAACTGCATACTCCTGACTCCAATAGGGCACGATTTAGCAACCGAGAAACAAATATCGCGTTTATAGACTAAAGCGCTCTGGAGTTGTCGAGGTTTCTGTTGCGTTCGCCCGTAACAAAGAGAAGACCACTCAAATAGCGGTACCAGATCCCTTACTGAAGCTAGAACCGACCTTCACAGGCTAATACAAGAATAAGACCCGAGCTAGTGTAGAGAGCTGTATTCACGTCAGCCACGTGCGGAGAAGTCAAGTATCTAAAGGGAAACTGATTCAAGTCAGGGTTAACCTTGACTCGATAAAAAGCGTAGCGAAACAAATGTTAGTGAACTAATGTAAATAGCATCAGAAACCAATCTTGGGGAATCGTGGATCCCAAACACTTTTGAGTCGAGGCTTTCAGGTGCACGTTTCCAAATTCTCGAAGAATGTTGACGAATTTACTTTGCTGACTTCTTAATTACCTAGAACATTCAGTACAGATGCGAATTCCCGCTAATAATCAATTGTTTCCCAAATTTTTCTCAAAATAACTGTTTAGACAAGCTTGAATTGTAGAATAGCCGAGTCCTAGTATGAAGATGGGTGAAAAAATAGAATAGCCTTTATTCACCAATTATATGCCAGAAATGTACATAAGGCACTTTCCATCCGAGGTCCCCACGGTGGCTTTGCCGCTAATAACATACTGCCCCTCATTATTTCTTGTCTTTAGTGGGCCGCGGTGTAACGACACATAAGGTTGCAGACATCTTGAACCACGCTGGCCTCGGCTAATCCTCTGTCTTTCTGCGTTTCAATTGCACGCGAGAAAGAGAAGTATCTAACCAGAGAAAGACACGAATGAGAAGCAGTATAAAATAAGAGGCGCAGCCCGCGTGGTGGACTCGGGTGGACGGCACCTGACGTGTGGTTCTGGCTTGTGATTGGTCAATAACGCCTGTACTGTTGTACCAGTCTTATTCATACTGGGCTCGGGTATTCTATAGAGGATCTTACCCGCAGGCCAATCAAACACACACAGATGGGATTGGATGAGCTGAGCATGATCCAATATACCTGCGTCCGTGCAGTCACTAAAATGTCAACATGTACACCGGGATGACGTCATGTCTAACGAGTAAAATAAACAGCCGTGTCAAACAATACCCCGCACTAACAAGATCACAAAAGCTGCTCAATCATGGAGTCAAGTCTAAGTCTTACCACCGCCGCCCAAAAGTTGACAACAGAGAATATTCATCGTTTTCCTCGATAGATTTAATTATGCTACGCCAACCTTACGGCCTTGATGCGACTTACTGCATCCCACCAGCTTAACTGCCTGATTTGTGCGTGAGTTATTTTGCTAAGCATCGAGAACACCAAACCAAATCTTGCCTACCATTAGTTAACAACAAATACAGAAAATATGACCTCTACGCCTCGAGTCTACCTGCAAGTCATGCCCCAACGAGTAAAAAATAACGGTCCTGATTAGGGGTGACCGCATTCCCTCAATGGGTAGTGTAAATATACTTGGACAAAGCATCGCTGAAACGCCCTTGCCTACTGAATGCCAACTTCGTAAACCTTCGGGAATGTGTTAGAAGCCTGCAGGAGTATGATACCAATTTCATTGTAACGTGACAAGAATGAAGTATACTTGAAAACCGCCAGAGGTCGCAGGCATTGGGCTGTCCGTGGAAGTGCACCTCTGTTAACCGGACTTAACCTTGGGTTGATTTAGTTATTGACCAATTTGAAACACCTAACACGGTCACATCGATGCACGAAGATCGCTTCACTGTACTAGAGAACAAATTTATTAACAGCTAGATTTGGTTGAGAGTTAAAAACCCAAAACGAGTAGTGGCGTTTTTTGACGTTTTTCAATGCGAAATAACAAATTTCAGCTAATTCGGAAGGCGGTTCTCAAAATGATCGGGTACTTCTTATAATAAATCCATGTACTACAAGTAAACTAAGGCAGAGCAGCACCAAATAAAAGATTTAGAATAAACAAATGAATGGAAGACCTGTGTAATAGTACATTTTTATACATACATGCGAAGATCAAGAATCTGTACAAAGGGAGCCGGGAATACAACAAAACTCTCACGACCTCCATCTAAAACAGAGAAAGTAAAAATGAGTTCCTTGAGGATATGCAGAATTGTAAAGGACAAATAAAGGCACCTAAGTAGGCTAAATATATTCTGCACAATGCATTGTTTACACTATGATTCCAACATGAGATCAAGTTTAACTTGTAGATCTTACTAGGTTGTGAAATCTGCGTGCTATAAAGCCCAATGGAAAAAGTAAGCGGATTAAAGTGTTATTGCTCCTTAACTGTCAAAACCTTACTTAGACAATGAATAATGAAATAAGTAGGATGAGCTATTTGGTTGCCTACTTGCAGTTTTTGCAGATGATGCTCTTCCGTAATGGTTAACTCAAGGTCATATTAAGCTTCAAGAGAGGCGGCCTGTTGTTCAACTCAATCTTCACAAGTAAAATGTGTAGCGTGATTATAATATTCCACTGTTTCGATAGCACTTTAAAAAATCTCGTTTGAAAGAGCCAATGCATTCCATAATTCGCAATGCGTAAAACGGAAGCCAAGCAATGAGTGTTACTTGAATGTTAGAACAGGGCCACCTGCGAAACCACAATCTAAATTGAGCAACCCATGTGATTTGATTTACTATCATTAAGCTGAAACTACTAAAGTTAGGTAATGGCCCTCGGGATTGTTACAGGGGTTCTGATCTACATAACCACTAGGAAACATTGCAGAACCAAACGTGAATTACGGCATGGGAACACAAGGCATTTTAAATAAACCCACATTTTGAGCACTCGATCTTTTCCACCTGACACAACACGCTGCCCATCAGGACTCCAGTCAAGCGCGTACACGGCATCAGAATGACCAGGGAGGTCGTGAAGAATGTGGCGCTTTCTCTGAAAGGGTTGCTTTGTATCACTTTTTTTCTTCACTTCATTTTGTACCGCAGCTTCCTGAACCCATCGTCGAACCTCGGCCACGGTCCACAGCTTCACCGTGGAGTCCTTTGAGGCGGATACCAGAAGGCGCGAGTCACTGGACCAAGCGACCAAATAAACATCTTGCACGTGTCCAAACATAGTCGCAAGAAATCTTTGAAAAACAAAACAAATGAAGGCATATGACAAGGCCATTGGTAATTATAAGGCACACAAATGTCAACATTATACGATGTAAGACTTTGGAACCCTGAAATTACAGAGGATCGACCTGAAATCCAAATTACCTGTTTGATTTCTATAGCTACGATTTCTTCTTTAGCAATTGCATGTACCCAAGAATCGGAATGGTGTTTACATTTAAAGTTGAACATAAAATACACTTAAACCGAAAATAGTACGCAGTAAAATGATCACAAAAACGCTTTTTGTGTTAACACATCTGGGACTAATTGGACAAACGTCAGCAAGTACCTATTACAAGATTTGATCGGCAAAATAATTAACCCTATATTAAAATTTTTAAAAAAAAGTAAATTGTGGAATGACCGTTTATTTGACAGGCAACTATTTCAGTGACGCATTTTTATTTGCACATACGTTAAATAGCATTGTGAAGGTTCAGCATTCGCCAGAAGCAACGACTGTCAACTAACCGTAGGTTGTTCAAGGAAAGTAACTCTGATGTGAAATAATTAAAGAAATGCTTAAACCTTTTGAGCGTTTGGTGAAGAGCACGACTTCCATTAGACATTGATTGGAATGGAAAAAGTTACATCCAAAGTTGGATTGCCACGATAAGTAAACTACGGGGCAAACAACGCCAACCCCACCCGACAGTCAATTTTTTGCGCTGACCTCAAAGTGACCGCGGCAAGGCACCCTAATACCGACGAATGTAATTCCTTAAACTAGCACCAACAACAGTCTAGCAAAATGGGATCTCAAGCCAATATCTTTAGGTGTTTGAGGTAGGATGAGAATTTAATTATTAGCATGTCGGTAACACACGTAGTTTGTCAAGTCAAAAAATGTCTATCTGCAGGTAAATCGAAAGTAGCACAAAATAGGCACCTTAGCTAATAAGTAGGGTATAAACTTACTTGCCACTAAACCCGTCCCAAATTTTAACAGAGTGATCGAAGCTGGCGCTGGCGATGAGCCGAGTGTCAGGTGAGAATTTAACGTCGTTTACAACTCCCATGTGACCTGTCATTCGTCCACAAAGAGGGGACTTTGTCGTTTCAGGGGTCCACAATGATAATGTATTGTCGTCCGAACCCGCGACCAAGCGCTCTGCTCCGTTTCCCTATTAAATATACGAAATAACACACCTTAAATTTGGACCTCATGGTCGTCTCACATCCAGAAAACACTGAATCCAAAGCAGCTGGAAGTGACTGCTGGCCACCACAGACTGGAAGTTAGTGACACATTCATGTAAAGAATGTCAATCAACATCAAATAGAGCAGATAACAATCTCAAAGCAGGCCTTGGGTAAATAAGTGGTCCGTCTAGCCAAGGTTGAACAGACGGCCACGGCTTAACTTAGTACAGACAACTGAGTCTAACAATTTTCTGGTTGACAGGAATCCTTATAAAGACAAAGTGAGCACTTAACCCACATTTGTTTTCAAAATATGGGTGACCGGTTCATGCTCATTCGTTTTGGCCTAAATTCTGTCAAAACGTGGAGACAAGCACTCATTGAAACGACCACCAATTTCAGATAATAATCTCTGTGTCAGCAAAATATCCAGCATGGTTAATCTCTGGGGTTTGCTTGACATGTCCATCTTGGTCCTCTATCGTGTGGAAAACTTCAGTAATTTGCCACGAATGATGGTGGGCAGTTCGTGAATCACAAATTGCAGCGAAAACCACAAGTTCAAATTTTGACATTGACAATGTAAAAAGGATGTCAAAAAGTCCAGAAATGAACCACGTCAGGTTCCATGTTGGGCGCAGTTGGGCGAGTGCAATTATTCAACGCATCAACCACGACGGTTCTACAGGCCGATTTATCAAAAGCTGCTTTAGTGAACGAAAAAAGTATGCTTGGAAAAAGGTCCTATCTGGGGCCGCCAAATGTAAACGTAAGTGAATGCACAACTCATTAACTCACTTTAACTTTTTCGTAAAGCTCTTTTGCACGTTGTTGCATAATTTCTTCTAGAGGTATCAAAATAAAGCGGGAATTGAAGTGATGAATAAAAGCGGATACATATCCTTAAAACTCGACGGAGGCAGCTTGCGAAGCGAACGCATTACATCCTGAGATTTTCTGACTACCAAATCATACAGGCACCAGTGTTTCAGGAAGCTCAGAATGCACCATAGGATTTACACAAAACCTTATCCAGCATCTACCATACTAGAGGGTCGTGTAGGTCACTTGATACAAGAGTCACTTCCAAAGCAGAGCAGGATTCTACTACAGAATTCACCTCACCAGTAAGTGACGGTCGAATGATTGTGAGTTCAAGATAAGAACGTGCTTACTTCTACTCTCGCCTATAGACATCGCAGAGAATGGTGGCTTGACTAATACCGCATCAGCAGGATCAAAAGGTCCAGTTCTGAGGACATAGTCAACATTGAGTGCCAAACAGTTGACCCAGTGGCCATGCATGTCCAGTCGCCTGCACAACGCTCCGTCTGTATTGCGCCAAACACGAATCGTACGATCCTGGCTGGCTGAGTAAATGAGATCTGTGCCACCCCAGCGAAGGCTAGTCACTGGCCTCTCGTGGCCTGACAGGATGCGATGAGGCTTGCCTGTGAGCGTGTCCCACAGAACTATTGAAGTCTCCTGATAGGCGGCGGCCAACAAACGACAATCGATGTCTCTAAAACGGCGAAATGGCACAATTTGGTTAACTACCACTTAAGAATTCCAAGTTTTGGGGTTCATAAAGGTTCGATAATAGTGAGTGATCATTTTAGAAAAGGTTAAGAAAATACAATTATAACAAAACTCAAACTATTCTAACTGCGAAACTAGAGTGCGCTCCAACGCTACTGGGTAGACCCCAGTGGGGCATCAAAATGATTATTCATATCATATTGATGTTCGTAAACAGAAGGCACAACTTAGCAACCACAGGAAATACAACCACAAAGTTGCAAAAACGCGTCAAGACAATTGCGTACAAGCAGTCCAAGGAAACCATATTTTTCGCATTACAACACAACCAAGACAATTTACACCCAAATGATCTATGATTACCTTTTAAAGTTGGTGTTTAAGAACACTGTTTCGGTATTATATCCCCAAAATCCATGAGGGCTTGCCAAGTGCTTTTTTCAAAAATGACAAACCTCGACATCATTCATTGTAGATTGCTAGTTGTAGAGCTGTTACTTTGCTTCAACCTTTTTCGCTATTATTAAATTAGACGCTACAACATCTGCATTCAATGATTTAATCTCGGGTAATTACATTGAGCAGAAATAAATTAGAAGCGTAGAAGTCTTCTAGGAGCGGTACCAGGTCCAAGGGTTAAAAGTCCACTCTCACATAATTGCATTGGTTTAACACAATCTGACGGCAGGACTTCGACTATCTATTCAACATGACGAAACAACTTTAAAATGCTACTGGCATTCGGTTTTCGGCGATTAGGGCGTGTTGTCTCAATTCGTTTATCTTCACTAGTTGTACGGAAGCCAATAAAATCTTGTCGTACATGCTGAACTGCGAGGTCTCTGGTGTTTCCTCTAACGAGTCCTACGACATAAGATACTGGTGTGTAGTTAATAACCAGGGCATATAAAATAACACCTATTGCTACCTGCAACTATAATTCTCCTTGTCGCTTGCTCAATATGGTTAACGAAAACCTGGACATATCCTAAAAGGCTTCATCGAAACCAGAATATTCAGTGCAAAAACTGAAAGTATGATTATTTGCATAGCATAAAAGGGGTCCTATAGTTTAAAATACGATTGTAATCAGCATTCAGAATTGATTAGAAACTAGTAAAACAAAACCGCGAAGGAACCGCTGCAAATGTTGAGCAACAAATGCCAAAAAACCAGACTGGGAAGAAAGTACTAGAAATTTAACCCAAAAAATTATAGAAACGTTAAAAATGTTATATCATTGGTGTGAAGTGATTACACAGTTTACTTTAAGCGGTATTTCGGTGCAGTGAAACAAACTCGAATTCTGTAGAAACAAAAAAACAAGTCCAACTCACAAATGGAAAGGTCGCCAAACTATTGAGCGGACCCAACGTGTCTTAGAATTAGCAGGGGTTCGTGCGAGGGTAGGTTGAATCAAGGGAGAAGGTGAATCAAGGACCCAGTTTCCTACGTCGTTTTGTCTCCACAAACAAATGAGACCGCCCTGACAACCGGAAGCGAGACGAAGGCCGTCAGGAGACCAAGCGAGACAGAGAACCGCCGCCTTGTGAATATTATGTACAGGAGATTGAGGAAGCTCCGTATTCAGGTCCCAGAAACGAACACTGCAATCACCCGAACCAGTTGCAAGAGCTCTACAAACAAAAAATAATGGTTAATCATTAAAATGTTTTTTTTTAAATGTCTACTGCGAATTGCTTTATCGTCTACATATTCTCTTAAAATCTATAGATATCACACAATAGCATAATGGTTTAAGTCCAAGACCTGGCGAGAAACTAGTAGCTCGTCACTGAAAACATTATTTTAACCAATGCCCCGGTATGAAGAATTGCTCTGGGCATTCGGAAATACTCACTACGCAAGTAAGTTATGTCACAGAACACTTGTAATGAACCATACCTGGCGTCAGGCGAGAAGAGAGCAGCCAAAATTGCCCCTTTGTGGCCCGGGAGTGTACTGGTGCATCTTGTAACTGGCCGAACACGAAACACTGCCTGAGCCTGGTAAGTCACCTTAACAATGGACTCCACCGCTCCACCAGACTCAGCTTTTACGAGCTCCTTTGCTTCATTTGTTTTTGCCTTAGAAGCAGTAAACTGGACCAGGCCTGAAGAAAGATCGTCAAGAATTTGGGTTTCGCCGACATAGAATTCGTATGCGACAGGTTCATCTGGAGACTAGATGAGAAACGGGGCAGTAATAACGAGGGATGTAAAAAGAATTTTCCCGATATAGATATTGAAAATATGCCAACCGCTTTTTTGAAGGAGGTGAGAATCTCGGTGAGGTCGGAGACAGAACTATTGCATGGCACAAATATGGGCGTTCCCGTTTCCTCTCCACTGGTATCAACGAACTGGATAAAAATTGATTGTTCCATAGGGACTGAATTTTCGGAATTTAGTAGGTCATCACCAAAACCAGGACCACAAGTCGAGTCTGACATCTCCAGAGTCATCACAACTGCATAGTAACGAGTCATAGGTCATATGTGCAAAGTGGTCCCATTTCATTTCAAAAGTGTTTGTAATGAAGTGGATATCACAAGAAAACTGGTTAAGTCAAAAATCGTACTGTAACAATGGGAAGAGAAACCGACAAGGCCACTCACAACCGAAAATGTGATTTTACCAATAGCAGATAAGAGAAGCCGATTTCGATATTTCACTAGAAGTACCAAAAACGTCTACTTAAAACAATAACACAGGTAGATCTAAAATAAGAGTTATGTTTAATTAAATCGATAAGGCCTATCTGCGAATGACATGGCAAGAGCACACACAATTTGAGAATTCAGTTGATGGGACGACGTGTAGGGCAATAAACAAAAGGTAATTCGGCAGCATATATACGTGCTGTGCCATGTTTATAAAGAATTGGGTTGAAATGCACATGCAACAACCCATAAACCACAGGAAAATCATTACAAAGAAAATCGAAAAATTTGGAAACACCGGTCAGGAAGCTGCTTTAGAACTAAATGCACCGGACAAGTGAACATCATTATACATCAAATAATTTTGCTAAAAATAATCAAACTTGAATGAAAATCCATTACACACACAGATCTACCAATGTGGATTACGATAACGGCACGTGAGCCTGTGGTGTAATGTGTAGCGGAATGGCAGGCGGCAGCCATATTGGTGACGGTGGTGAGCGCGGCGCGGAGGCGACGTCACGTGACCGGTGGT